CTTCAACATGAAAATCCTTGATAAGGCTGAGATACTGTTAGGAATAAATTAAAGTAGCTACAAGTTCCTCAATATTATTTTGCTTAAGCTTTTTTTCTTTTGGCAACAATGACTGATTTTTCTTTTCTTTTCTTTGTTTTTTTGGTACTGAGAATTGAACTTGTGCTTGCCAGACAGGCGCTTGTGCTGCTGAGCTGTATCCCCACTCCCACGGACTGATTTTTAAAAATCCATGCTAAAAAAAAAAAAAAAAAAAAAAAAAAAAAAAAAAAAAAAAATCCACGTTTATCTCTCCTTCAACCGAAGTGTTCTAGGGAACGAAACGGACTCTTCTGGGACTCCTTTTGATTCTGCTTTTTTCATTTTGCAGGATGCTTGCAGACCCCCTCCTATTTTTTGTTGCACTTTCTTTTTGGGGTCACATTCCTTAGAAGCACTGTTTGCCACGGACCCACATGCAGGTGCTCTGGCCACCTGGAGATACCTGGAAGCGTCTCTCTGTATGGGTGAGTCTGACTGCCGCACCAGAGGTGGTGCTGATTTTCCCCCACTCGTGGTAACACCCACCTGCCCCACCCAGTCTGTCCACTGGGACTCCGCGGGGTCGGGGGATTTGCCTGCTGGTGGAAGCACCTCCTCCCCAGAAAGCCCCAAGAGGAAATTCGACTGGGCTAGCAGGTGTCTGTGGGCTGCCAATAAATCTCCAAGGTGATTGGATTTTTGGTTCAAAGGAAAACTCTCCTTTCACACTTTCAAATGCAGATGGAGCCACATACGTAAACCCCAGACAGACCTGACTGGCACCTTCACGGAGTTGTCATTTGGGCTGTCAACAGGTGGCTGACTGTAAACTTTCAATCGAACCGACTCACATCCTCTTCAGATTGCAGCAGAGGTTCGGGGTCCACCCCCAGGCCACAAGTTCTTCCCAGCTCATGGTCTGAAGGACGAGGGGCTCGAACTTCTCCAGCCTTCTGCCACCAGCTCCAGGATGAGTAGTGGTGTTTCTTGCAGTTTTTAAAGCAGATTTCTGGCTTCTTATGTGAGATATGGGGGCAAATTAAGTTTACATTTGAGGACTTTTGTCAGTTGTTTTCTTTCTGTTCTCCCCAGTGCGTGGAGGAGCTCCAGTCCACATCACACACTGAGGTGGATTGACAGTTGGTGGCCAACCTGTAACACCCAGCTGAACTGAATCAACCTGGAGCTGTGTATGCAGGTCCACCTGTGGACTGTTGCCAACAGCATAAAAAGGAGAACTGGAGAGAAAAAAAGGGGGGATGCTGGTGCTCCTGGAGGAGCTTTGTTCTCCTGCTATGAACGTGGCTGTTTTCATCATCGGAGGAGCCTGGGACCTTGTTGTCGCTGAGGACGGCTGCGGTTCACTTTGGGGGAGCTCTGGCTCCACAGGGGAAGATGGTACGCTGTTCAGTGTCCTTGGGAAGCTCGTCGTGCTGGCTTTCCTGATATAAACCAAGCTGTTCTCATCACCAGAGCTCAGGACCTTGCTGAGGTACAGCATGTGGGACCTTCTGGGGGAGCTCTGGTCCTTACTTTTGAGTGTCGCCTCCTGGCTCCAGTGCAGATCCCTCAGCCTGACACAGATCCGTCATCCCACTGCCACAGACTTTCTAGCTTCCACCACTGACCTTTGGGCCTTCCCAGTGCAGATCCATGAAACAGACTTGGGTGAGACATTGATATGGGCTCTGGGCCTCCAGCTGGACTCGTGGGGGGGCATCGTCATGGCCTCTAGGTCTGCAGCTGGACTCATGCAGGACAGTGCCATGCGGTCCAGGCCCTCAGCCGGGTTCTTTGGATCTTTAGTGTGTGGACAGATTTCCTGACCTCCTTTGCACTTAACTCTGGGTAACTACTATAAAAGAATCCTATAAATGATGTGTCCTGTAGGAAATTGTTTCCCTTGTAAACCTGACTACAACATACATTCACGCTCCCGAACTCCAATCCACAGCACGATTGTGGCCACTCTGCTTCAGGGTTTCAGGGGCCACGTCTTCTGCCGGTCCACGGAATGCACGCGACTGTTCATCGTGAAGAGGTTCTCCGCATGGTCCGAAGGCTGTCAGGTTTGCATGACTTTGGTGATTGAACATGCTGTTCTCTGGCTCCGGGTCTCTACAGATGATTCCCTTTTGATGTAAATGCCTCAAAGCCATAGGGATTTCTGCCGAGTCAAAGGAGGCTGTATCATCTATAAACATTCCCTGACTTTCTAATTGCATAGTTCTCCTTTTTAAGCACCTTCATGGGAAATATTTGCTCCTGTTACTTTTTGCACTTGAAAAACCTTTCCAGAGCCCCTTTTACCAAGGACCCAAAGTAGCTCTAAATATTGTGGTCTGATTCTTTTTCTGGCTTTCTGTTCACACTGGTTGTTGAAATTTCAAACTTCTCACAACGTTTCACACCAAGTTCGTATGGTCAGCCTCCCACGGTCCATGCTTTCATTTACCCAGCTTCTCCTCAGAGCTTGAGTCATCTTTTTTTTTTAAAGACAGGGTCATGCTATGTAGTTCAGGTTTGCCCTACACTCACTGTGTAACTCAGGCTGGCCTCAAACTCCCAGCGATCCTCCTGTCTCTGCCTCCTGAGTGCTGGGGTTGCAGGCCTGTGCCACCACGTGTGGCTTTTCCTTTCTTAAACGAATTTCAAACTCATTGGGTCTAAAGGCACAATTACATGTCAGAAAACCTGCTACGTCCAACTTAACATGTGTATCCAAATATTTCTCACTATGGCCAACCCTCCACCTGTACTTCTAATTAGTCTCCATGTTTCTGTTCATTTTTGAATGTATAAAATACGTCAAGCAGGGGCTGGGGATTTAACTCAGTGGCACAGCGCCTGCCTGGTAAGTGCAAGGTTATGAGTTCAATTCCTGGTACCGGAAAAAAAAAAGGCCTCAGTCATAAACCCACGGGGTTGTGTTTGGCATTTACTGTTCCTGTGCATGCTAATGGCTTCTATTTGGACATCCCTGGGACGCTACCTAGCAGCTCGAGTACTTGGCCCACACTCACGGCAGGGAGTGGGTGAGCCCAGGACAGCCCCGCCCCTCTGCGCTCCATTTCCGGGATCTCAGTGGTAACGTGCTTGTTAAGTCACTGGGAACCTGCTCACTGCCGTTGGACTGGCTTTACATTGCGTTTCACTTTTCCATACCCTAACCGGTATTTTCAGGTACAACTGACCAAAAAAATGTCTTCACTGAAATTTTAGTCTTAGGGTCTGCTTTGGAACTCATCTAACACAGTAATAGTCATTTTCTTGTCCCTCGACTTCCAGGTCATTTTGGCTTTTCCCTGCTAAATGCAGGTTTCTTTAGGAGTCACGCACAAATAGAACCACTAAGTGCAAGTGCATGTGCATCTTCATTATTAATAATGTCAACATTTAAAAACTCTGACAACGCCAAGTACTGGTGAGAATGCCCCATGGGACAGGCATGGACTTGTACCTGTGTGTAGTTCCTCCCCCCGCCCCCCAGGACTCTGGGCAGAACCCAGGGTGTCTGCATTGAGCTACATCTCCAGTTCGTTTTTAAGATCTTAAGACAGCGTCTCACTAACTTCCCAGGTAGGGGTCAGACTTTCAGCCTCCCAGAATGCCGGGATTACGGGTATGGCGCCACCACTGGCCTTTCCTTCTCACCAGCGGGAAGACACATGAACATAAAGGGCTCCTTCCCAGCTCAACTAATTTTTCATGAGAACAAGCATGTTTCCAAAAGCCCTAATCACAGTACATATGCCCAATAAAGAAATCACACCAGCTCTGAAAATGTCAACTGTTTGCACCAGACCTTTGCCCAGGACATTCACAGTAGAAAATTTGGGTATTATACACAATTTATTTCCTTCATGTAGCAGTCTTTGGCATTCTTCTGTTAGTACCTCATTATTTTTAGCAGCTGGAGAATGTTACATTTTATGACATACTGGTTACTCCTACCTTTATTGACATATGGGCTCTTCTCAAATTTAAAAGGAAATACTGCAAATATTTTTGGCTCATGTCGTTGTGAAGATTAACTTCTAGAGGAAAAGGTCCAATCCCAGACTATTTTGCATTGCAAATCGATACTGCTAACTTATACGCTAAAAAGATCGTATCAGTTTACAAGGCAGAAACTGCTGTATTTTTTTATGCCCAGTAATACAAATCTTTACGTGATAGGTAAAACATATTTTAATTTTTATTAATTTTGTAAAATTTAGTTTCTAAGGTATTAATTTTGGCTTCTAGCAGTAACCATTCTCAGTATTTTCTCTTTATTTTTAATTTCAGCTACCATACTTGTAACCGCTTTTTTGCTTTGAAAGAGCAGTCTATGCGGTTCTATCGTTGCATTATTTCTGAAGCCCTCTGAAGATCAGAAGCAGAAATTTCAGGTCTTAGGTTCTTCCTAGGTCATCTACCTGCTTCTTCACCATCCCTACGGAGTACACTGCAGCTTGAAGCTTACTGATTTCCTGTCTCTGCCAACGGAACTTTGCTCAGAAGTATGCTGTGCATGGGATCATTCACAGATCAAACTTCGACCTGATTTGCTTTTAAAATGTGAGTTCTAGCGGTTTTGTTTATAATCCACTTCTTCCCTTTGGACTAATCTGTCTCGCTCCTATCTCCATGGGTCCTTATCTTCGCAGGACTCCTCCAGCTTGGATTTCCTGATAGATGTGCCACCCTGGGCAGGTGCTGAGATGCTGGCCCTGGCATGGGAGACTGAGGCAGTCAAACCTAGAAATGTCTCTCTTGCTCTCTTTTTGGGCACCAAGAGCCTCAGGACCCCACGCTTGCCAGGCAGGCGCTGTGCTGCTGAGCTATATCCCTGGCCCCTTTTTAAAAATTTTTCTTTCTTTATTTTTTGGAACAGGGAATCGATCTCAGGACCTCAAGCTTGCCAGGCAGGTGCCAACTTTTTTTTTAAAAAAGTCTCTCAAATAGTATCTGTTTAGAAAAAAATTATCCAGAGATGAAAAACCAGAACAAGTCTTTTTTCCTAATATATACATAATTGTTTTTAGGAGGAAGGGAAACAACTTGAAATGGATCAGAACACACCTTCATATCAATCGTTCTTTTCATATACTTCAAATTTGTACTTAATGCCTTTCTCCTCCTGGACCTCAGAAAGCACGCCAGGGTATCTGTAAACAGAACAGTAGATGATTACATTATACATCCCGGGGACACAAATTCCCCGGCTCCTCATCCAAAAGGCATTCTCCTCTTCCTTCCCCAGGGTGAGCCGAGGTCAGCGTTCACACGTGTGAGAATCAGCACTTAAGCAGAACAGAAAACGTGTCTGGTACGGCAAGAAAAGCCAGGCACAAATACGGATGGAACTGTCCAGCAAGAGGCCTCTGAGCCCATCCTCTGAGCCCCAGCGACAAAACCCTTACACTGCTCTGTTTTGTTCAGAATTGAGAGCCCAAGAACACGGGTCGCCCACTTTGACTGAAGACAATTAGCATGACGGACCAGTGCTCTAAAGTGCGGCCACCTTTACTCGGGCGTGGCTCCGGACTCACAAACTCATGCTCCAACGGGGACCCCCAGACCTGAACAGGAGGATGGGAAAGGAAGTGCCAGAAGCTGGCCTGGAAGATTTACTGAATTCATCTTTGACTTTCTCTAGTCGGTAGCTGGCGTTTCTAAACTAAAACGTTAGGCATTTTCAAAATCAGGCAGCCTCGCGCTATGGCCCCAAATATGGCCTCTTCTCTCACCCCATCACTGTGACCCCCATAACCTAAGGCCCTTGTCTTTTACCTCAACTACTGCAATCGGCCGGTCTCCGGCTTCGCTTCAGTCCCTAGGGCTTGAACCCACGGGGCATTCGCAGAGCTATACCCCCAGCCCTTTATGATTCTGAGACAGGGGTCCCATGGGCTGGAACTAGCAGTCCTCCTGCTCAGCCTCCGGCTTTCCCACTTCACTCCTGCCCCTCTCTGGTCTGTTCCCCCGAAGGAGCTACAGCGATGTCATCTTCTTCAGGAGCCTCCAAACCCGTGCCAGGCCTGACCCCCGATGGCACCACCCTGCTCAGCACCTCACTCTGGCCTTCAGCTCAGCGAACAGCCGAGCTCTCCTGCCTCAGCCTCCTGCCAGCTGTTTCCATGGCTGAGCTGTTCCTCGTGCTCCGGCTCGGCTGGCTTCAGAGAGGGCTTCCCAAGCCCCAGTGCCTGCCACGCCACAGTGCTTCGGTGCTCTGCGCGGTGGCTTGCTGATGTCCTGTGACCCGCCAGCCCCCGCCCTCCTAGCACAGAAGGGACACTCTGGGAGCAGCGAGAACGCCTGGCTCTCCTGGGGAGAACCAGCGGCTGCCCCTTGCAACTCCACTGCAGTCCTGAAAACCGAGCCCACCCAAGCTACCGAGGCCGAAAACTCTTAGTCTCCTAACCACGGTGTCACCTGCAGTAACACCTTTATCAGGGAAGAAAGAGCACAGCCTATTAATTCCCCAGCGGGAAACCCAAACGTGCTTCCGGCTAACTAGTAACTCAGTACTCACTCTGGGAGGAGCCTGTATTTCTTCAAATCAATTTCTGGAAAAAATGTGTCACTTTCAAATTCCTGCATGATCCTTGTCACGAACAGTTTGACATGGCCTGGCCGATCCATGGCTTCCTTTAAAATAAAGCAAAAGGCATCAGCTCCCTTAATCTGAGCCAAAAGATAGAAACCCTAAGATTTTAATCAGTTGCGTTTATACCAGGCAAGGTTTTACATCGGAGCTGAGGGTGTACGCAAGCTTCCTGTACAGGCCCAGAGAGTGAGCATGCTGGGATCTGAGGACCTTGGGTCTTTACTTTCGAAGGCAAGGGCAGTGGTAGACAACGTGAAACATACAAGTGTGGTGTGCGATGCACCCCACCTACGTGGGCCACGGGAGGTCAGTCTGAATGTCCACGCACCCGGTCACGCGAGGCAAAGCTGTCACTGAGAGCTCCATGCCTTCACTACTTGCACTTGTGTGCTGATGAACTGAATGGAACGGGTGCATCTGGGTATTTGCAGTGAGTGGTTGCAGAACTAGGGACTGAGTGCTTACAAACGCATCTAGGATCCGCTATACGCCGTCTTTCTCCAGCAATTTCCATTTCCTCTGTTACCCTAGTCCAAAAGGGTAGAGGCTGATTTTCTTCTTCACCATAAATATTAGTTTCATTACTATTTTAAAAGACTCAATTCTATTTATTATCCTCAAAATTTTAAAAATCAGTAAGTCATGTTGTATTAGGAAAAAGGTGTACTTGCTCTTTGATACACTAGATTCTCAGGCTACACACAATCATGAACTCTTCTCCCAGGCCCTCACATCACATGACAATTGTTGAGGAAAAGCCTTCTGCTCTTGACAGTCACATGCATGGGCTGAATATCAGCTGAGTTGTGAATCAGCTGAGGGCCCGTCCTTTCTCAGCCAGATACACTTACCCTGCAGGGGCAGGGGTAGCAGCATGCAAGGGACACATTCCGGGGCAGTGCAGTACGATCCCCAGGAAGAAATTCAGAATGGCTTTCAAACTGCAAACACCATCTAGTGTCCTGAACTGAAAAGAAACTGGTATGTGGTGAGCCGCTGCTCAAGGACTATAAAACTTCACTGAGGACGAATAAGTTCCACAGCCCTATTGCTCAATGGACTTTTTTTTTTTTTTTCTGCACAATGGATTACTGTATGCCTGAAAACGACTGGGTGATTTTAAGTGTTCTGATCACAAAAAGTGAGATAATGCATACATTAATTTGGTCAATGTAATAATTCCATCATGTATATATATTTCAAAACATGTTGTACACAACAAATATATGCAATTGTCAATCAGAAAATAAAATAGGTAGAGACTGAAAAATGTACTTTTGTACTTTTATTTACTTCACATGCCAGTGTCTAACAAAATAATTTAATTTGATGATGTGTTTACTTACCCCAGGGATAATGACCTACTTTCTATGCTCCTGGCTTGATTTTTCTACGTTTCATTAATGGGCCACGCACTGTCCACCTAACATCCACGTAAATGGCACAGAGTGAGAGGAAGCAGGGAAGAGCATTCCCTCTTTTGTGGAAACTGACTCACCTTATAAACAGAGCTGCCGCCCACGACCCACACCGTGTCCACTCTGCTTGCTAATTCTGGCTGCTCAACTAGCCTCAAGGCATCATCCAGACTTTGGGCAAGAAAATGAGCTCCTTGGGGAGGTTCCCTGAGTTTAAAAAAAAAAAAAAAATGTTTCTGTAAACCCATCCACACGAGTCAGATAATCTGAGTAAGAAGGGGTGATCAGGGGCTCGGGATTTAGCTCAGCCGCACAGCGCCTGTGTGGCAAGCGCGAGGTCGTGAGTTTGATTCCTGGTACCGGGGGTGGGGGAGAGACAGACAAGAAGTGGTGATCAGCAAACTAAAATCGTACATATGAACCCTTCTGACAAAAAGCCCTCAGCACCAGTGCAGCTCACGATGGATATTCAGCCTGTGTTTATGCATCTGCGGTCTGTGTGCATCAAAAACCAAAACTACGTGCGCCATCTTGTGGTGGAAAAACACCGGAAGGGTAGCTGTGTCTGCAGCGGCAGTGTAAACACTAACCTGACAGGGCCTGCGGGAGCGTTACGTGTTACCATGATATCCTATCTTTGGTAGGTGTTTGGTGTAAACTACTGTGAAAACTCAGCAAGCGGATAATCACAACTTATCTTCCTCATTGTCTGTCACGTTTACCCAAAGATAAAAATGAAAAACGGAATTCTTGTTAATCATATGTCTGGAATGTTCAGGAGAAAACAGACGAACGTCTGCGATTTACCTAGAAATGCACAAAACAGACAAGCCAGACCAGTGGATGAATGGATATGTGTTAAACCAGAGAAAACAAAATTGTTGGTAGGATGGAAGTGGTAGGTGTACAGCTATTTAATGTAAAGTTCTTTCTGTGTGTTTGAAAACTTTCGCAGTACAATACTGGAAGAAGAAGATTTGAATGACTGTAGAAAGTCCGGCATGATTCTCAAATGTTCGTGTTTTGAACAATACAGGAATGAATCAAGTACTTGATAATGAGTCTGTTACTAGTTACGTAACTGAAAGTATAAGGGGAGAAAGTTAAATAATTTCATGTTTATATCAACAAACTTGATGTCTCTCAATCTCCAGAACTAAGCCCCTCCCCAGGGTGGCACTTACCTTTATAAATAAGGAAATTCATAGTAATTAGAAAGAGAAGAGAAATTACAACTCAGTGTCAACCTCTTAGCCTGGTGCTCTAAGAGATGGTAACATTACCCTTGAACTAGTAGTGCTGAGAATGATTACCGTTCATTCTCTTGGTTGCTTCTTCCTGCCTCTCCTGAAATGCTGATTTCACTGTGTCATCTGTAAAGGACTTGGAACAAAGCAGAGACACACTTCAGCTCAGGCACGATGAAGAAAGAAAGGCCAGGGTAAGTTAAATGAGCAGAGCTGCTGCCCAAGGTGCCAGGGCAGTCAGAGCGGCTGCGTGAGACCAGGTAACGTGGAGCCGACTGCGGCATGATGGCTTGGAGACAGCTCCAGGGCTTGGGGAAGGCCACCTCCCTGGCCCGAGTGACTGTGGCAAGGAGAAACCAAGGAGAGAGGAGAGGTTTGTGTTCAGGTGTTTCGGATTTAGGTGGCAGGAGCACAGGCACGGAGGAGAAGCTTTCACAAATGTTGCGAGTTAGCGGTTCAGGGCTGTCTGGCAGGGACACTGGAGCCTGGGCTGCTGGGGCCAGGGGCCAGCGAGTACCTGAGTTCATCAGCACTGCTCCGCTGGCTTTTGGGAAAGGAACACAGTGGGCTGCGTGCCGCACCTAGTTTCACCGCTAACTTCCCTTCCTAGAGTTTTCTCAAACCCATCCTGGGTAGAGCCTCCAGCAGCGGAGAGCTGGCGGCAGGTGGCGTGGGAGATGGAGGAGCCCAGCTCCTTACTCAAGAGTGGAAGGGCAGGACAAATATAACACAGAGGTGAGGCTGCAACTGCTATCATCAAGAGTGACAGCAGTTACTGGACACGAAAGCCCAGGGGGATATAGGACACAACCGGCTGTGACATTTAAATACTAAAGGGCTGTGATGTTTAAATACTTAAGGGTGGCATTAAAGAGGAGGATTCCAGGGCAGAAGGAAATGGAATCTAGAAAAAAGTGGGCGACAGAGGGTCAGGGCTGACTTACGAAGGGATTTTGGTCTCAAGACAGAGGGAAGGAAGAGCCAAAGAGTGAGGTGAAATGCAACGCTGACCCTGCGCCTTGGGATCTCAAGGTTACTATTTTCTGTAGGATCTAAAGTAGCAAGGCTGGGGTAGGGCGAGAAACCCCTACCTGTGGGGCACCTCTGTGTGCCAGAAACCTCACACACAAAATTTCACTACCAATCCCCACGCAGCAGAAGTTGTGGGGCAGCAAGGCCCACCCGTTCCTGCCAAAGCCCCAAAGTCACCTGGTGCCAGGGCAAGAGTGTCTGCCATGCTGGGTGTGAGGACGGGGAGAGGCTTCAGGAGGAGGAAGGACTTTCAGTCACTGCAGGGGAGGCGGAAGGGACAGAATAAACACAATCACACCGCAGAGCGTGGGAGCCGCAGACGCGAGATCACAGCACCCGGAATCACACAGGCAACTCTGCCTTTTCAAAGACGGTGTGGGACAGCACCACGGCCATGCAGTTTTAAGGTTTTTTTTTTTGGTACTGGGAATTGAACTCAGGACCTTGCACTTGCCAGATAGGCGCTGTGCCGCTGAGCCATCTTCCCGGCCCCCAGTTTTAAGTTTTGGTGCCTAAGATTTGAAAAACCACTTTACTGACATATAAGCCGTGTATCACACAATTCACCCTTTAAAAATGTGCCATTCAGTGCCACCCTCACCACTACCTCACACCAAAGAAACCTGTGCAGTCAGGAGACACCGCCCCCACCCCCAGTTCTTCCAAAGCCACAGCTGGCTATCTAGAAGCTTTGGAAAAGTGCCTCTCCCGACACCGAGGAAGTGAAGAGCTACGGCAAACAACTAGAGCTTAGCAGAGAACTTTGGGCCTCCACTGCGGACTGTTTCTTCCTCTACCAAGTAGAAATCAGGATTCATCACTACAGACTAAATGATGTCAAAGTCAAAGCACTGGCGCTGACCTCACCGGCAATCTGACTACCCCCACCCCTTGGTGCCCAGCACTTTCCCAGGCATCAGGAGCTACGGATTTGTATCTGTCTGAAAGACAAGAAAATTCTTAGCAGAGTCAGTTTTAGATGACGTCTTCTGAGGATTCTTGTATCATTTCAATACTCTGAAAGACTTACCTTCAGACTCCCAGTAAAGCACAAATACAAAGTGTTATTTGAATGGTATGGTTAAAAGGAAAAAAGCAATTGATTACACTGTATAACCTTAAGCCTACTTACTCTTGAAAAACCTGTTACTCTTGTTAAATCTGTGACATTTAATGTAACATTCAAAGTGGTATTATCAGTCAGGGAAGCAGCAGAGTAAGTTGTCACAGTGTAACAGCTTATTCATTTTCTGCCATCACCTGTGATATTACCCAGCTTTCTCAATGCTACTTTTATACCATGCTACTGTGCTGCACTCTAAGAAATGCGACACAATTTTGCTGTGATCAGTTTACATTTATGGTACTTACTTGAGTTCTCTACTTAGTACTATATTAATTCTGTCTTTCAAAGGTCGATTCTTCTCAGGAAGGGAGAACCAGGTCTTCCTACCCATGATCACCAGATTCTGTTTACCTATAAAATTACACAGAAATGATAAGTTCATTTTGGGAGGATACCCGTATTTTCACATCATCACAAATATATGCATAGACATGATTATCTTGGTGCTATCTAGTGGATTTTCTTTAAACGGCAAAGCAGGGCAGGAAATGTATGTACTTGAGGGGTAGCGCGCTTGCCCAGCATTCAGACCCTGGGTTCCATACCCAATACTGCAAAATAGTAACAAAAAAACTCCAAAACAACAGCAAAACAGCTTTATCATAATTCACATTTATTACTTGTTACTAAATATGGTACCTATTTTTTCTTTGGGCTTTATCCAGTTTATAACTAATATTAACTTCTAATCACCTACAACATGGATAATGTAGTAAAGAGTAAAGATTCCAGGTCAAAGTGCTCAAGTTGCGTGCATTCTGTCATCCACTAGCTAAGTCTTGTTAACTCTTTGTACTTTACGTTCCTCAGCTATAAGACAGAAGCACAGTTCCCACTTCAATTGTCGAGGGTACTAAAGACTTAGAAAAATGCTCAGAAGCTAGTACGATTACAATTGTTTGATACAGTATGGCTATTTCTGTACTTTGTAGATTTAAATTCTCACACTCATAAAAAAGTAGGTTTTTAATATTCTACTCAATTTATCTTAAAACAAGGTCAGTTGCGTCTCTATCCTTTCCTCCTATAAAAGCTTTATACATATAGGGCCTATTTTTTAATTACTTAGGAGGTAAAACCTGGAGAGTTAAAAGACAACTGGGTGAAAGGAGCACTAAATTACCTGCCTGTTCGCAGGACCCTCGAGAGTGGCTGTATCAGCTCTGTAGCTATTTATTTATTTAGTTTTTTTTTTTCCAGTACCGGGAATCGAACTCACGACGTCGCACTTGCCAGGCAGGCGCCGTGCCGCTGAGCTAAATCCCCAGCCCCTTTAGCTCTTTACTAAACAGACGTTTCTTAGGTTTTATGGGGGCAGCCCCGCATCCCCAACCTCTTTTCTTTGGTTAGCCTCTTCCCTAGTCAACATCGCGTTCATTACAACCATTACAACTCACGACTCTCAGGGCCTTCTCTAGACACCCAACATCTAGCATCATACAAATTGTTTTAGCAAGTTTTTATCTTCTCTTTTCCGTGGAACCGATTCAGGCTTTATCATCTATCGCTTTAGCAGCTATTCCAAGACCCCTCTTGGCCAGGTGGTGCAGACTGCAATCCCAGCATCCAGGAGGATGAGGCAGGAAGATTGAGAGGAAGCTTGACGCCAGTCTGGGCTACATGGTGAAAGCCAGTTATCAAGAAACCCCCCAAATCCAAAAACCCAACCAACGACCTCCTCTGGGCTCCATTCCAAGGCCCACCCTCTTTGACCCCGGCTTCTACTTAGCTGCCAATTTTGTCCAATACCCGTGTGGTACACTTGCGCTGACATAAAATTTTTAAAAGTGTAAATCAAGAGCAAACGCTTTAAAAAAAAAAAAAAAAAAAAGAGCAAACGCTTGATGAACCCTGGGAACTGCACCCAGACTGCTAGTAAAAGAAAAGACCCCGGCGTGGCACGGGGGACCTTCCACGAAACGTGCACTGGAAATCCACCTTCCCTCAACCTCGCAGGGGTCCGAGTTACCTTCCACGGAGGTGGTTGTGGTCATCCTCTGGAAATACTTGAACTCATTCCTGCAAGGCAGAGACGAGCGTAACCAAGCAGGGCTCTCCCGGGCGGTGACCCCAGCGCCCAGACTTTGCTCTGCAGCCCGGGAGCCCGGGAGCCCAGGCCTGGCCTGGCTGCGAGACCCCGGCCGCGCGGCAGGCGCCCCCTAGCCCCGCTATCCAGGCCCGTTCCCGTCCCCACCCGCCACCCGGCCCCGAAGGTACCTGAGCGGGGGCCAGGGCAAGTCCCCGTTCTTGCCGATGCCCATGTTCTGGGACACGGCGACGATGCAGTTCAGAGGGCGGACCATGGCGGCGGATCGCTCCGAGCTGGTTCAGGACTCCGGGCTCCCAGAGTTTGGCGGCAAACCACGGCCGCACCGCCCCCTCCGCGCCATTGGAGCAGGTGCTGCCCCGCCCCCTCGACTCCTATTGGTGCAGGTACTACCCCCGCCCCCCTCAACATGCCCGGAGTAGGCGTGGCCCCACTCCCTCGGCCCCTATTGGTGCAGGTGGTGCCCCGCCCCCTCGGCCCCATTGGATCAGGCGCGGGCTTGGCCCGCCCCCCGCTCGCGAAGTGTCGGCGTGCTCGCGCCCGCACGCGCCTGGGGACTCGCTCTCCCACGGGCTACCCGCTTCTCCGCCCCACGATGTCGCGCCGCAAGCCTGCGTCGGGCGGTGTGGCTGCTGTGGGCCCGGCACCCGGGAGGCAAGCCGTTTTAAGCCGGTTCTTCCAGCCTGCGAGAAGCCTGAAATCTACCTCGTCCCCCACCGGCGCCGCCGAGCAGGCAGACCCTGCTTCCACAGCGCCCCCCGCGTCCGCCGCGCCCCCTACGTCAGCGGCGCCGAAGGTGCGTTCTTCGTTCCCCAGATGGGTGGGGGGGCGGGGCTGCGAATGCGGGACCTCGCGCGAGAACTCGTGGGAAGCGGGGTTGGGAGGGGGGAGGGGAACCCCTGGTGCTGGAGACCCGGCCACCTGGTTGCTATGGGAGACCTGAGCTGACAGCTCGCGTTCTGCCGGGTGGACGGGGCCAGCGCGCGAGGCCGGGTTTTTAAACCCCCAGCATCCGCCCCGTTCTCCAGATGGGTGGAGAAAAGGGTTGTATTTCTTGGTGGGCGGCTGCGTGTCCAGCATTTCGGGGCAGTGGGCAGAAGCGGCCCCCTGGGCGGCCGCTGCGACCGTGTAAAGCACCGTGTAAAGCGTGACGTTCGGTTTGGGTGGGCACAGATTCTTAGATGTGCATGCTCGGTCATTGGGAACTTCCTGTTGCACCGCCCTTCGGCACAGTAAACGAAGTGTTGGAAAACATTTTGTAAACCAGATACACTGCATTGCCAGAGGGAAGGGCCTGGGCGGGCGCCGGCTGGCAGCCACCGGCCAGTGCAGGGCCTGCGAGTCTGCTTCCGCATGTGCCCTTCGCTGGTGTCTTCCGCTGTGCCGACTGCGCCTCTGTGGGCTTTTTGGTTTGTTTTGTTTGTTTTTTGAGCGTGACATGCAACTTAAAGAATTCACCAAGATTTGATTTTGCATCCACCCTTTCCAGACTGTTTGGTGAAGGACCAGTTTTTGTCAGGTTTCCTGCCAACTAATGGCCGTCATACTGTGGCATCTTTAGTAGTGAACAGAAGCTGTTGAAACAGCAGATGGACCGGGCGTGGTGGCGCACGCCTGTAATGCCAGTACTCGGGAGGCTGAGGCAGGAGGAGCGTTGTGAGTTCAAGGCCAGCCTGGGCTACAAAGTGAGCTCAAGGTCAGCCTGAACTGCATAGCGAGACCCTGTCTCAAAAAGACAAAAACAAACAAACAAAAAAACCAAAACAGCAGATGGCTGAATTAAATTAGTATTTCAAAAATGACATTTTTCATTTCTTACCTATCTTTTCTCTCTAATTTTGCCTTCGATAGATAGATATGAATTTATTTCCCACACATATTTTATTTAGCATATATAAGTGGAGTGATGCAATTTATTTTTCATTCCTGGGGATTGTACCCAGGCCCTTCACCCTGAACACCATCCCACTCCATTTTGCCCTTGTTATTTTGAGACAAGATCTCATAAGTTGCTGAGTTGTCCGGGCTGGGCGGGAACGTTCAGTCTTCCTACCCCAGCCTGCCAGAGTGCTGGGAATAAGACATTCCCCACCACACATGGGCTGAGAGTCAAGGTTTATCGTTTGAGATGTGTGGAGGCCGGCTGAGTAAAGGAAGGTAGGAGGCTTAATTTCACGAAGTTCTAGCAGGACCCGAGGCTCACAACCTGCCGGTTTCTACCTTAACCAAAGGCCTTTCCTGGGCTAAAAGTACCATAGCTGGTTCTGTGGAGGGTGGACAGCAGTGAGTTCCACCTCATTGGGAAGGGAGATTTCACTTACTTCACATCCGGCAAGGCTTCCCGGCGGAGACAACACATCTGCTCTCTGACCTCCCCCACGCAGGCTGCAAAAGCTGACAGAAGGAAGAAGAGACCGGCAGAGCCTGCTGCGCCTCCTAAGAAGAAGTCGAGGAAGGCCCAGGAACAGGAGAGCGGAGGGGGCCCAGCTCTGTCTGGCGGCCCTGGTGAGTGCTGCTGGGCAGTGGCTCTTCTGTGCAGAGGAGGCGCCAGGGCCTTGGGCTCCAAGGGGTGGAGAGGAGAGGGCTCCAAGCTTGGTGCTGTCTCCTTCAGGGCCCAAGATGCCTCTCTGAGCTCCGGCGCGGTGCATGGGAGGTGGGGACGTAGAGCTCTCCCGACTCTTCTATTTTCACTAGCCATGTTATAAAAATGAAACATTCCTGCTGGAAAAACACCCAGCAGTAGAGCTCTGGAAGGCAGACAGTGGAAGACCTCACAGGGTTCCCTTTCAGGGAGGCCCTGCTCAGTGTTTGGGCCACTGTGTGTTCGTCTGGATTTTCCTATTTAGTCCCATTGATGTGGACACACACATACACCTACAGATTAGTTAGGAATAATTATTGTATTTTACAGGGTGTATTATTGTCTATGTGCTAATCTGCAGCTTTCTTTTTCCACTTAGCAGAACTTTCTGACGACCATGTGATGTCAGGTCAGGTAGGATGGCTCAGTCGGAAGACACTTGCCTGGCATGTGTGAGGCCTGGGCTCCATCTACAGCACTGCTGATCACACAGGCACGTGCACACGTGTACACATACACACACACACACACACACACGTGCACGCACACACACACACACACATTGGAAAACAGCATTCCTGAGCTCTTGGACTTTCAGAGCTGGTGCTGAGTAGAGATGGTAGAGCATCTAGTTCTAGATCTCAGAGAATTTGTAATAAGAGGAGATGGGACATCTCCAGGACAGGAGCTCCAGTAAATGCATAAATAAATAACAAGTCCCAGTTCAGTGGACATACCTGCAGCTGGAGATAAACATGTAAGGTACCTATTTTTGCATGAAAGTTAAAGCGTGGACTTAGGGTCAATATGAAAAGCTTTTCCTGGTAAGAGTGCCTAGGAGTGGGAGCTCCAGGGTCCCGGCTTGGGTCTCAGTGTCTACATGGCCTGTGTTCCTGGGGTCCCCTTCCAGGGAAATCTCTAGTCTGCTGCCCAGGTGGAGAAAAGCTAGGAATGAAATTGCTTTGAACCACTTCTCTTATTTTAGCACTACCCTTCATACCATTGCCCGAGTACTGTGCTCTGATACTGAGTCTCTTCTGTAGGAGTGCTCTTGGTTTTCTTAATTACTGACTTGGGATTTAGCTGAACTAGTCATTTATTTTCCTCCTTGCTTCAGATCTTTCATTTATGATTGTCACCTTTCCTGTCCTGTTCATCCTTGTATCTAAAAACAAACAAGCAAAATTCTCGTATAGTTCCTAGCGAGGGAGGGCTTCAGTAGTAGGTGAAATTGCATAGATGTTTCAGGAGGTCATCTGTACCTGGAATCCAGTGATCTTTATTTCTTTATCACCTCATTAGATTCACTACTTAAGTGGGAATCTTCCTCTTTAAACAATCCTATGCAGGCTGCGAGCTGACACACCGAGGCCAAAGTACTCTCGCTATGTTTTCTTCTCATTTGTTTCCCAAGAGCCAAAGCGATGTCTGAGGACCGGAATTGCTTTACAGTCTCTGGAAAAACTGAAAGAATTCTGCTGTGATTCTGCCCTCCCTCAAAATAGAGCCCAGACAGAGCCTCGTCAAGGGAGATTCGAAGTTCTGCCGAAATGCACTGATTTTGAGGACATCACTCTTCAGCGTGCTAAGAATGCTGTTTGTTCTGAAGATTCCAGATCTCAAAGTAGTCAAAAGGTGTGTAGTTACTCCACAGATGAATGTCCAATTGCAGAGGAGACGGTTTGGAGTACTTCTGGGTCTGTGGGTCGCTCTAGGCATTGGCTCCTGAACTCGGCTGACATCTATTTAGCTTTTGTTTCTTTGTGTTTTGTTTTTGTAATCTTTGGCGATTTTAATTTATTATATATTAGGGAAGGGTAGATTGGTTCATATTAAATAAACAAAAACTTCTAGGGGATTCTGCCCTGCCTGGATTAGGTGCCATCGCCGTAGGGGGATGCTTCATTGGTAAGTACAATGAGCACAAGTTTATTATTGTCCTCCTTAACAGTTTTCATGATTTGCATGGGAAATCCCACTGGGCAGCGTGTTTAGATGCTTTGAGGTTTTCAGTTGAGTGCGTGGCAGATGTAAAGCAAACTCAAAGATAGACCAAATGGGTGTAAGCTCTTACTTCTGCTTTTTACCACTGCATAATCAGGAAACTGAACTCTTGCTCCATCATTTAAAGCTATAATTGAGATTAGTGGTTGGTTCTTAGTCTTACATTTAAATTAGAATCACTTGGAGAAGATAAACCACAAAAATCAAACAAATAAAAAGCTTGTGTTTAGAACCTTCCCCCTGAATCTTGTTTGATTGGTCTTCACTGAGAATGGGGCATAGATATTTCTTAAAAGCTCTTATTGTATACCCATAGGTATACATACCTGTGATTGGACAAGTGTTTTTTATTTATCTATGCATATGTCGATTCATTTGTTTGAAAATTTCAAATTCATTGTTTGAAAATTTCAAATTCATTGAAATTTTCATGAAAGCTGTTTATCTTCAGAAAAATGCCCAGGCCAACACATGTTTGCCTGTAATTTTCCAAAGTTCACACCCTTTCCCACAAACTGCAGATCCATGAATTCCTTCCTCAGGCAGGCTAACGTTAGTTGATCTTAGATCATCAGGGGAAAAAAAGACTTTTTTTTTAATACTTAGAACTGATTTACCGGGGGGTGGTGATCACAGAGCTTAGAAGGTGTAGTCTGTCTTTCTAAAGCTCACTTTATTAATTGGAAAGTTTACCCCGGGGCTCAGTAGACTGATTTACTATCACTTTATACACCATGTGACTGATGTGTCATTTCTGTGACGCAGGAAATTAGAAGTGACCAGATAGAAGAGTTACCCAGAAGCAGCATATGGACATTATTACAAGTATTAGCTGCTCAGTGGCAAGAAGGTGACAGATAAATGCTAAAAAGCTGTCAAATAAACTTAAATGGCCAGGGGTCTAGGACCTTTAATACAGGATTAGCAGTGCCATAATTCTTGATAGGCTTTGCAGTTTATCTTGATTATCTTGACTTGGAAAAACAAGTTTATAAGTAGTTTGCTGTGGTATCTCTGGGAACATGAACGATAGTATAGCTGAGAGATATTTTCACCCGGATACTTTCAAGTGTTGCTTAGTGTTCAAGTATTCAAATTGACTTGATGGCTAGTATTCCACATGGACAGTTTTTTTTTTTTTTTCCTGGAAGTTTATCTTAGTCCACAAATGAATGAGGTTACAAAACAAAAATTATTGTTATTATTATTTTTTGGTACCGGGAATTGAACTCAGGACCCTGTGCTTGCCAGGCAGGCGCTTGTGCTGCTGAGCTATATCCCCAGCCCCCCAAATTATTTTTTTATTGTATATATTTTGTAAGTGTTGATTAACTTTCACAATATGTGGAGTCCTGGGTTTTATGTAAAAGCCACAGAAACAAAAGAGAAAAACCTACCAGAATCGCAAGCAGCTGGTTCCCAGATCGGTGCATTTCTCTGGCCGTGCTCCCCGCGCCTTGCCGTCTTCTTACTGCTGGTCTTTGGAGGTTTGCAGTCTCTGCAAGGTAGCTGGTTTCCCTGCTGTCCCAGCTGAGTTGCGGTTTTTAAATATTTGGCAAATACGAAGTACATTTTTCTGGGTTTTCTCATGGAACGAGGCCCCTGTTCTTGGGCCGTTTTTCCTCTTTGTCACTGAGTCTTTCAGTCGTGTGTTTGAGTCCAGGGTGTTATGATCCGCATCTCAGTGCCCAGGGTGAGTGCTCATCACTGGCTTCGTGTGTGGTTCAGTGGCGGCCTGCGCTGTCGGGAGGCGGGGCCTGGCTGCAGCGTCCCTGGGGTGTGACCTGGAGGGTGACTCTTGCCCCTGGCTCCTCCTCTCTCTCTGATTCCTGGCTGCTGTGACTTGGCCCCTTTTCTTCCGCCAGGCCCCTCTGCCATGCCACTTCCCCTGGGAGCCGGCTGAGTCCTCTGAAAACTCTGAGCCTTGAAGTTGGGCTCCTGCCCTTCAAGTTGGGGTGTTGGGTTTTGTGTCCCACTGCTGAGAAAGTGACCACTGCACAGGGCCAGCTGAGTCAGTTTGTGGATGTTGGCGGCGACAGAGTGATGATTACTGAGGCTGGACTTGGTCTCCTTTTTCCTTTGTCTAAACGAGACTGATGAGCAAGGGCTTTCTCTGCCGGTCGGTTGGAATTCGTCACGGTTGTCCTCACAGGAACTAAGGGCGGAGTGCGTGTGTGGTGCGCAGAGCCGTGTGGGGTGGGTGCGTCTTCCCAGCGCTCTTCTCGCGCTTCTGTACCGAGACAGTCACGATTCTTCGTGGGCGTAAAACGTTCAGCACAGCTTCGTTATGGGCGCGCTGCGGAGCGTGCTTCACCCGTGTCTGTGCCCGCCCGTCAGTCTTGTGCGTTACACGCCAGGGATCAGCATTAGCCGAGAGATGTTAATAATTCAGTGAAACCAAATTTAACAAGAAGCATGGAAAACGTTAAAAAGCTACACTTGAAAATTTTACTTAAACGGTTACAGTGACGGCTTTCAGCCAGATAACCTGCCGGGCCCCGCGGCCGCCTGCAGAAACCCGGCCTGTGTTTGCTGTGTGCTCACTTTTTGCCAGTTTGCGCCTCGGTTCTCTGGGAACTTAGCGTGCAGTTAGTACCTCTAAAATTACCTAAGTCTCTTGGTCTCCAGGACAGCGCGTTTGGGAGTCCCGAGAGTTCCCGGAAGCCTCCTGACCCGAAAGCAGCCGGCAAGCGCTCGGAGCGCGTCTACACGCCGCTGGAGCTGCAGTACCTGGAGGTGAAGCGGCAGCACCCAGACGCGGTTCTGTGCGTGGAGTGTGGGTACAAGTACAGATTCTTCGGGGAAGACGCAGAGGTGAGCTGGTTTCCAAACACTGCTTCACCGCTCTTCCCCGCCTGAGACATTTCTCTGTTCTTATTTCATTTTCTTTGTGAAAAAGCTAATTCGATGCATCCCCCTTTAAAAATGCTGCCATTTAAAGCAAAAACTGAAAATAAACACCAGGAAATTCGGTGGGAGCTGGCTTGTACGGAAGGAAGGAGACTGATGTAATTAGTGCTTTTTCTCAGCGGTGGCATGGCTGTGATCCAGCACTCTCGGAGGCTGAGACAGGACGATCTTCAGTTTGAACCCAACCTGGACAACTAAGCAGCTTAGTGAGACTTTGTCTCAAAAAATGAAAAAGGGATAGGGATATAGCTCAGTATGAAGGCCCCGGGTTCAACCCCCAGTGCCACCACCACCAAAAAAGTGTATTGGGTCAACCGCTTGGCGAATGAGCCACACTGTGGTGGATGTGTTGTGTTTGCTGATGAAGACTCGGCGAGGAGACGGAGAGGACGGAGTTCCTCTTAATGTCCGTGGCCAGCGCCCGGCCAGGCCCGGGGAGGAGCACGTGGCACAGCTGCTCCCGTAGGCGCCCGAAGCGTCGCAGTGCTGCGTGGTCGCTCGCGCTGCCTTCCTCGTCCTGCCGGTGTCCGGTGTGGAGGCGTTGATGGTGGCGGGGGCTCACACACGCAGTGTTGCTGGCGACGTCTGTGCCGGACGTCGTGGAGGGCGGTGCCCAGGGCACGGCGCGGCCCTGCCGGGGTGCAGGGCAGCAGACCGCAGTGAGGGGCCCTGTCCCACCCTCGGAGCGCACGTCAAGGCTTCGTCTCCTTGCTTCTCCCTGTCTCCCGAGTGCTGAGGCAGGAGGGTGCGTTGCATTGGACTGTGTGTTAGATCCTGGGTACTGCGTCCTGAGGCCAGGGCCGGGGGTGTGGTTGGCGTCCCTGGGGTGTGCAGGTGCAGAGCGAGCCCAGGTCCAACCACAGTGCGGACCTGGGTCCCTGTGTGAGGGTTGGAATCGAGTGCCGGGGCCCGGCTGGGCACTGTCCGAGCCATGCACACTCTGGAAGAAACCGGGTCAGGCACTGCCCCTGCTCCTGCGCGTCTCCCAGTCGTGTGTCATTAACTGGAAGCAGACCCAGACTCCTGACTTCTTCAGCTCCCTGAGTCCCAGAGGCTCCTCATCTCCGTGTGCTCCATGGCGTCTTCTCATCGTCACTCTGTTCCCCGCACACTGTGTGGCGCCCGTAGCCCTGTTCAGGGGAGGCGCAGCGCTGTGGGGTGTGGGCACATTCCAGGACGCAGGTAGGAGACCTGACACAGTGTTCTGAGTCACTTAGAGACGCAGATGCTGGCACTGACGTCCGGCCAGAGAACCTGCCCAGAGCAGGTGAAACCTCGGGCCCCTGCGCACAGAACGCCCTGTGCCGCGTCCACCATGGGGCCGCAGTCTGTGCCCCCCATCGGGCCCCTGTGCCGCTGGAGGCAGAGGTGGCGCGGTTGTGCGTGGAACAGTCACGCAGGTGCCCCGGCGTGCAGGCCGGCAGGGGTGTGGTAAGCCTCTGTAGCACCTTTAGAAACGTGCACAGGTCCTAAGTGTTCATCCTGATGGGCTTGGGGCAAAGTGAATGAACCCACACAGGGAACCTGAAGAGTAACGACGCTGTCTTTGGAATCGCCTAGATCGCTGCCCGGGAGCTCAATATCTACTGCCACCTGGACCACAGCTTCATGACGGCCAGCGTCCCCACGCACAGGCTCTTCGTGCACGTGCGCCGCCTGGTGGCCAAGGGCTACAAGGTCAGCCGGGCTGTCCTCCGTGGGAGGACGGGACTGGGACTCAGCCAGGCAGTGAAGCAGGCCTTGTAAGCTGGGAAGCAGGCTTTGACTGGTTCTAGGAGTTGGCATTTTGGAGAAATGAAAGTGTCATAATTACTAGCATTATATCATGGCTTTTACTTGTGTGTGTATGTGTGGTTTTCTTTTTTTTTTTTTTTGGTAGCGGAGATTGAACTCAGGACCTTGCGCTTGCCAGGCAGGTGCTTATGCCACTGAGCTATATCCCTGACCCCTATAGCATGGCTTTTAAAAACATTTTGTTAGGCCTGTAATACAGCACTCTGGGAGGCTGAGGCAGCAGCATTACAGGTTGGAGCTCAGTCTGGGCAGCTTAGTGACCTAGCAAGATCCTGTGTGAAAATAAAACATAAACACAAGACTAGGGATGTAGCTCAGTGCAAAGGCCCTGGGTTTGATCCCCCATAGTATAGCCAATAAACTGAAACAAATTTTGTTAGGTATTTACGGTGGAGTATTTACAAGCTCCTTGGTGATCTGTCCACAGCGGTCTTGTCCAGGTGGTGCTCGTGGCCTGATCTTACTTGTGGACATTGTGAATGAATTTATTACCTTTAGGTGCTTCTTTTTTTTGGGGGGGGGATACTGGTAATCGAATCTAGGACCTTGTGCTTGGCAGGCAGGCAGGCGCTGCGCTGCTGAGCTGTATTCCTAGCTCTCCCTTAGACATTTTGAAATGAAGTTTAGAAGTCATTTTTGCATCCAATTCAATACTGGATCTCTCTGGCCCTGTTGAAGGTGGGGGTTGTGAAGCAGACGGAGACGGCAGCCCTGAAGGCGGCTGGCGAGAACAGAGGCTCCGTGTTTGCGCGGAAGTTGACTGCTCTGTACACCAAGTCCACGCTCATTGGGGAAGATATCCTTTTTGAATGGGTTTTTTCTCTGATGTGTGACAGGGGCCCTGATTTAAGATGACAGATGTTTTAAAACATTGTTCTTTGAGTGGGAACCTTCTGGATGCCTGAGGTTGCGTGGTTACTTGAACCCTTGACAGCACAAGCATTTGTCAGATGCCATAGGAGAGGAGAGGCTGGTGTGCTTTAGGAGAAAGTGAACCTAAGAAACGATTGCCCGTGGCGACTGATCTAAACGATGTCTTCCCTTAGGCCGCTGTGGCCCACGGTGGGCGCTGAGGGCCCAGGAGGGCCTGCGGTCTTCCTGGGGTGAGACCTAGGAAATAACTCACTTGTGGTGAAGAGGGATGGGAAAGCTAGAGTTTGCATACAGTTACGTGCTTCTGCCGTGTCGCGTTAGGCCCCTTCATTCATTGTCACCTTCGTGAAAATCCCACTTTTTAGTGAGTGGGTTGCAGCGAAGCTTTCTCACTGTGTCCGGGGTGGCTCCACGGTGTAGCCATCCGTAAAGGGACCTTTAAGCAAAGTAACCTCGAAAGCAATGGCATAAAATTCTTTTTAAAGTCAAATAATTATACATAAAATAAGACAAGGATGCATTTAAAAATATGTGCTGTAGGGCGCGGTCAGGACCGTTGCAATAAAAGAATGCGGTGAAAAAAGACCTAAAATGATCCTGTGTGAAAGTAATAATCCTGTTATTGCAAAGCGGCTTATTTAGGGACCTGCTTAGCTGCTACCCAGATTTGGAGGTTGCTTTGTCCTGCAGCCATCGGCAGCGTGCAGCTTCTCACTTGGGACGGATCCTGAGCTGCTGGTTACCGCGTTGTGCCTTTTGTCTGAGTGTGAACCTCTTCTCTGAAGCCTGTTTCTGAAACACCGTCCTCCCCAGCGTGCCTTGGCCGCGTTAGGGCTCCTGACTCCTGAGACGCGGAGTGCTGGTGCCCAGACTCCCCTGCTCAGGGCAGCTGGGGTCCTCGAGACGCTGATTGTTTCATACATACACAGCACACACCTGTGCACACCCACGTATGTGTGGATTTTCTTATGTACTACACAAATTCTCTTGTTATTTCTGGGCGCTTTAGGCACTTTAATTTTTTTTTTTGTCATTTTGAAACAGGGTCTTGCTATGCAGTTCAGGCTGGCCTTGAGCTCACTTTGTAGCCCAGGCTGGTCTTGAACTCACAATGATCCTCCTGCCTCAGCCTAGGCACTTTAAAGGAAGAAATTAATGTGCAGTACTTTCGTGTATTTATGCTTTGACTTGTGGAGTTAATGGGTGTGAGAATGTTAAGCATCCGGTGTCAGCTTCATTGGAATAAAGAAGTGAGTCGATACCGGGGCTTCCACAGGGTCCAGTGAGCTCTGCGAGGGCTGTGGAAGTGGGAACACAGCTGTTCTGCCGTGTTGCGTTAGGCCCCCTAGTGGCTTGCTCTAGCTCCCGAGAGTCGCCTGTCGTCCTGGACCTTACAGCTCAGGGACGAGACGGCACAGGCCTGTGGTCACAGCGAGTCGGCACTGCGAGTGCTGTCTAGGAAGTCGTGGGGAAATGAACCACAGTGGTAGAGGGGAAGAGCAGCGTTCATGGAAACGTGTGCGGTGCAGTTGTCTTTAACCGCTGCTACATGTGAACCCTCTAGTCAAGCTGGACGATGCCGTCAGTGTGGATGAGATAACGACCGACACCTCCACTGGGTATCTCCTGTGCATCTGCGAAGACAAGGAAGGCGTTAAGGACAGGGAGAGGGGCAGCGTTTCCATGGGCCTGGTGGTAAGTGTGTTGCAGATGGAAAGTGCGCGGTAAACGTTCATGGTCTCTAAACAGGAGGGGTCGGGAATGCTGCGTAACTGTGCCTGGAAAACGTTTCCCCTGTGATAGTGTGTGTTAAATCATTAGCTCTGTTTTCTCCTGTCACTCCTTGGCGCTCTGCACTGTGGAGTTAATGGGTGTGAGAATGTTAAGCATCCGGTGTGAACTTCATTGGAATGAAGAAGTGAGTCGATACCAGGGCTTCCACAGGCAAACTCCAGCTAGGTGTTTTTGTCGTTCCGGTTTATGGGCGCTAGGATTTTAGGGTTGAAGCTGGACACAGTAACGGTCACGAGTGGGTAGGTGCAGATTGTAGGACGAAACGCTGAGCCGAGGCACACGTGAGTAGCAGAGACTTTTACGATTTCTTCTCAAGGTGTGAGCTTGAACACGAACGGTTACGGGACGCTTCTGTGTGGATTTGGAGGAAGAGAAAATTCAGTGAAAGTGATAATTGAACCATAGAAAATGTCATGCTCTGTTAATACTGGGAATATTTACCTTGAGCCTTGAGATGAACAGAGCTCACGAGTCACAGTTCAGTTGATTTTCCCTCTGGCGCTGGCTGGGTAAATTTGCCCTTTTCAGATGGCTTGGGCTCCGCTCAGCGTCTTGGACGTGGTAGGGCCTTCGGGACTTTTCACTCCCCTGTGCCGCTGGAAGCTAAGCGAAGGTGGGTGACTGCTTCTCTGCTCTGACATCTGCGGTCAGTGAGGATGGTGGTGCGGACCCTCCCTGCCCGGCTGTGCCCTTCCGTGGCTGGAGGTCCGCAGCGTGGGGCAGGGATGGCAGGATGAGCGCCGTCGTTTGCCCCGTAAGCAATGTCTTGGCCCCCGGGAGCCAGCTTTGGGCTGGTGACCCCCTGAGCCCGGGTCCAGTGCGCCGCTCTCGTGAGCTGCAGCCCCTGCTCCCTTTTCACTGGGCCAAGCGCGCGGCTTGCTCTAGCTCCCTGGAGTCGGGCTGAGGCGGTTCTTGCCCCCCTTTACCCTCAGCCCTGTTCCCCCTGGCGTTTCCCTCCAGGAAGAGTGTCACACGTTCTCCGCGCTACCAAGGAGCTGCCCCTGGGGACTGGCAGCCAGCTGGAAGCTGAAGGATTTGTTCCGCAGAACCGCTGTGTTCTCAGAGCCTCTGTGTCCTTACGGAACCGTGTGCCTTCAGTCTGGGCACTCCATTTACACAGACCGACAGGGCTTCTCCGTGTTGTGTATGTGAAGTGGGACAGACAGACGTGGCGGTTGGTTAAATTTACAGTGTATTACAGCTGGAGACACGTTGCCGTGAATCCCCTCTAAAGCCTCCCGCTGGCTTCGAGTGCACTCATCCCATCATCCTCGCCACTTTCAGCAGCAGCTCTAACGTCCTTTCCTGAGCTTCTTCAGTTGCGCTGTCCCGGCTGCCTCAGTGTCTTAATTTGATTCAAAGTATTTTCCTTTCATGGTCATTTGGACTCCGGGAAAGAGCCACGGTCATCTGGGGCCGGATCTGGTGACTAAAGTGGAAGAGGACACAGGGTCATGTGGTTACGAGCTGCCTTTCCACTAGATGGTGCTTGGAGCAGCGTGCACCAGACTTTGATTGACTTTCCTAAAGACACTCAGGAAAGAGGACGCCAGAGCTGCTGCAGAAAGCGGCAAGGACAGTGGGATGAGTGTTCAAAGCAAGGGCGATGATTTCGAGGGCAATTAATACGTCTTTTACTGTAGTAGCTTTTTAAAATTTAAGCATATGATCAGGTCTTGTCTGTCAGTGTGATAGATGTTGAGGTAGAATGATACAGACTGTTTTTCTAGTGAAACAGAGCAACAGAGAATTTGGCTGGCTGACTGATTGCTATTTGAACATCTGTAGATGGTTTTTGTAGAGGCTTGGCTGTAGATCGGGGCATAAACTTAGGTGTGTGTCCTCATGTACCAGTCCTCAGCTGAGGCCACTAGAGGAAACCCTGGGCTAGAATTTAGGAAGTTCCTTGAGCTACACGTAGAGGGATTTCCTTTTTTTTTTTTTTTGGTACTGGGAATTGATCTCAGGACCTTGTACTTGCCAGGTAGGCACCGTGCTGCTGAACTATATTCCCAGCTTGGGATTTTCAAATTGTATGAAATATCCAAATAGAAAAATGCATAAAGCGGAAGTGTACAGGGTGGCGTGGTGAGGAACTGTGGCTGCCTGTAGCCCGTACATCCTGTGTGTTCCTTTCCAGGGTTGCAGGGGCCAGTAATCCAGTCTTGTGAGATGACAGCTTCCTTTCTTTTCATGCTGGCTTTAGCAAGTTAAGCTTTGCAGACTTCCCGTGTGTACTGCCCAGATGTGTGTAGGCGCCAGCTGGTGTGTGCATTCTTTCGGGCTCTGCTGCTTTTGATTCTCATTGCATGGGAGATTTCCTGCCCCGTGCTGCTGCGGGCCAGTTGTTGCTGTGTCCTGTGGCATTTTAGGGTTTGTGCGGTGTGCCTCCCTGGGCTAGTGACAAGTGACACACGTGCTGCTGTGAACGTTGAAGGTGTCCTGCTGCCCTGCCCGAGTTTCTCAGCAGAGGGCTGGGCGCCTCCTGAGCTGTGGGTGGGCGGGTGTGCTCTGTGGTCCTCGCTATGCTGCCCTTGGGACGAGCTGGTGCCAGCCGGCTCTGGACATGGGCACAGTACAATACATAGGTGGCACTTCTCCTTCTGGTGAGTGCATCCCGTGCGCCGGCCTGCCTGGAGTGGAGAGAGCGTGGCCAGGGCAGCGGCTGACGGCTCTCAGTCCTGGTGGCACTGGCGCTTTTGCTTGGGAAACTTTTCTCACCTCTTGCAGACCTAGAGCTCTGTGTTGGTTACTTTTCTGTCATTACTGAGACAAAATACCTGACACAGAACTTAAGGAAGGAAAGGTTTATTTAGCTCACAGTGTGTGGAGGTTTCGGTCCATAATGAGCTGGCTCCAAGGCAGGTGGCATGGTGAGGGGCAACACTCCAAGGCGGCAGAAGACAGCAGCAAGAGCACAAGGGGTGGGGAGCAAGCCTCTTTTCCTCCCTCATATTGCAAGCAGTCTGTCCACCCTAGGGTGGGTGTAGCACTCACACCATCTCCCTGCCCTCCTCTTACGCAGGATGAGGATGTTTACAAAGTGAGGAGCCTGGCCCCTTGCTGAGTCCCTTAGTTAAACTTCTAAACTTCTCAAGTTGACACAATCTATCAACCATTACAAGCTTGTAGTTTACTTGCTCTTCTTGGCTGTGGGTGGTAGTGGGCAGCTGTCACTTGTCACTTCTCTGGAGACCCTGTCCACTTGGGGTTCATTCCAAGTTTGTTATATTTGATTTTGGTTTTTGCAAAAATAATTTGTGTATGTAAGCTCTGTATAGCAAGTGAGGTGGCTTTGGTGGTGGCGAGGTTGGAGCCCCATGTCCGTTGCTGCCTGTGTGACCCCAGCCACCGTCCTAGGGCCTTGCAGTTTACACACTCTCCGGGTTTATTTTCTGACTTGATGCTCACGGCAGCCCCGCGGGAAATGGCAGGGATATTCCGTTTCTGTAGCTGGCTGCTCCTAGTCACCCCGTCAGAGCATTGGGTCCAGGACTTGCTCGGGTTTGGGGGCCTCTAGAAGCTTCCGTCTCCCGTGCGTCTGGCCTGGGGAGGGCCGGGCACGCGTGGGGCGTGTGTCCGGGTGGTGTGCCTCTTGTGACCCGTGTTTGTGTTTGTGCACAGGCTGTGCAGCCCGCCACCGGGGAGGTGCTGCTGGACGGCTTCTGCGACGCGGCGCCCCGCCTGGAGCTGGAGACGCGGGTGCGCAGCCTGCAGCCCGCCGAGCTGCTGCTCCCCCAGTGCCTGTCGGAGCCCACCGAGGCGCTGGTGCGCAGAGCCGCCACCGCAGGGTAAGTGGGCTGCTCATCCAGACAGGTGTCACGTGCAGGTTTTATTTCTGAAGTTGTATCTCAGCAGTTGTCCTGGAAGTTTTTTAAAAGAAAATTGCCCATTACTGTGACTATAGAAGTTTATGTTTTTATTTTGTTTTATTTGGTCTTTTGAGACAGGGTCTCGCTATATATAGTTCAGGCTGGCCTTGAACTGGCTATTAGCCCAGAGTGGCCTCACATCATGGCAGTCCTCCTGCCTCCGCCTCCTGAGTGCTGGGGTTATAGGAGAAGTTGGTCTTTTTAAAGAGGTTTGTGTCCTTACTGACTCATGTTATGTATTTAGTATGTAATCTGTAGTTTCTGCAGCTAGAGTTCATTTGCACAGTTTTGAAATTGCCTTTCTTGTGCTGTGTGTTTCTCTCAGAAAGATTGCGGTCGCTATTTGTACCAGCCGTGAGGGTGCTGTGTTTATGGAGCTGTGTGCTGCGGGCACTGAGGAGGGAGTGGCTGAGAAGCGTGTCCCCAGTCTGCAGCCAGACCGGAGTGTGCTGGTGCACACTGCCCGATTCACAGCATCCCAGGGGCCTCTTCGGACAGCGGGTGCTGCCACGTGCAGGGGCAGCACAGAGCTGGCAGTCCACGGGGTTGGAGGGCTGTGGGCTGCATTGCAGGAGGGAGAGGATCACGGACCGCAGGGACGCCCCCAGGCAGGGAGTCAGACTGATACACGAAGCAAGTTCTGTGCGCAGCGTTGTTCTGAAAGTTCAGAGCCGTGGTGGGTGGTACACATGTTCTTTTTTTTTTTTTTAAAGACAAAACATGTTAATGTATGAGTTGTCTTTTCTAAACTAAAACCTCAGTGTGCAGGTTTGATTGCATGTTGGCATTTGCAGTAAGTATCTGGGTTTTGGGTTGCAGTTTGGGTGCTCATCTCTGAAAGGTTCACCATCACTGCTTTACAGGGTTCATTTCTATTTGAATTTAACTTTTGTCAGAGTAGCTTTTGTAATTTGTTTTACATACACCTAGTATATGTTCGGTTTAAAGAAGTTAGGAATTATAAAAAAGAAAGGTAAATAAGCTAAAATCCCGTGGCCCACAGATAACTATGTAGGTGTATTCCTTCTGTGTATGTACGTTGCTTTTTTCATTTATAAACATGGATTCACGTTGCAAAATCACAAATATACACTAGTATCCCCTGCCCATTTTTTGGTGGAGTACCAAGGGTTGAACTCAGGGCCTTCTCACTGTGCTACCTACCCAATCCTTTTTATTGTTTTTGTTTTGAGATAGAGTCTTGCTAAGTCGCTAAGTAGCCCAGGCTGGGCTCGAACTTGCAGTCCTTCTGCCTCAGCCTCCCAGGGCGCTAGGAATTACGTTCATGCACCATCACCCCTGCCTGGTGTCCTCTTTGTTAGCTGAGAAATTCGCTATGTACTGTCTTACCTCACCGTGGAAGGTTCAAACATGCTACAGAATTATTTGGGAATAGTGTAGTGAACTCCGTGCCTCCGTGGGATAGCTTCAGTGTTTCTCGGTTTGGAGCCAGGGTCATTTCGTCTGCGCCTCCCCGCCTTCCTCCCTGGAGCGGTTACTTAGGAGCCAGTTCTGGCGCCAGTCATGTTGTCTGCTAAGGTTGCAGTGGTGCTCTCGAAGGTGCGATGACTGCATGGCCCTCGGCTGTGTAAATGGACCCTGACTTACCCCCTCTCCTTTTGTTATGTGTGTTCACTGTCTCAGTGTTACAGACACTGCTGCGGTGAGCACCTATGCGGAGAAAGCTTTGTGTGGGTATTTATTTCCTTAAGATCAGTTTCTGCAAGTCGAATTTCCAAGTCAGAGGGTGTAGCCACTTAGAAGGCTCTTGTTCTTCGTATTGATAGTTCCTGTTTGTGCTTCCACAAGTTTGACATGGGAGGAGTCTTTGAACCCTTGTCAACACTGGGATAATCATTTAAATCGTCTCCACCTGTCAGGTCATCAATTCTGTATAAAAAATTCTCTTTTATGCTTCAACTTGAATACTTAAAAGTCAAGTAGTGAGTTTCTAAGTGTGCTGCTTTTGAAGAGTTAGAAGAATTAATAAAATCTCCAATAAATGTTTAAAGAGTCTTCTAAAACTGTATTTCTAGTATTGCCTGCTGGATGTCCCTTCATAACTGAGTATGTATTTGATTGATTTTGATTAGAAGATTCATTTTGATCAGTTACATCAATGTGCTCATTTTTGTTTTTCTGCATATTTTTGTAAAATTGTAAAGACAGAATTCAATAAAGTATCAAAGACAGGCGTTGCCAAAACTGTACCTCGGTTTGGCAAGAACCATTGCCTTGTGACGTTGCTGAGTGTCCCCGATGTAATCAGCTGAGATTCCCGGGCTTGCTTTGGAACACCAGGGATATCTGGGTGTCGTATGAGTTTACAGACGTCACCACGGCCTCTCGTTTTACACGGTCCTTTTCTGGGCAGCATCGGGGGCGTGTAACTGTCCCCGCGTTCACTCAGTGCAGCTGAGTTTTCAGTCTTTGTAAGTCTTTGTTTTACGTCCTCCTTGATTTTGGACTAGGCAGTGTCCACATGAGCCCTGCCTCTCTGTGGAGTGTCTGCAGCTGGCTGCTGTGATGAGCCGGCTGGAGATGAGACTCCTGTCCCGGTGGGGACCTCCGTGGACTGGGGCTTGGGGAGAAAACCAGCCCTGCCTCTGGCCCTGGGTGAGAGCTTCCCCTGCTGCCTTTCTTTAACATGGGGCTAGTGAGTGTTTCCCTCCCAGGATCGCCGGAGGGTCAAGCCCTGCAAGTGCACAGCTAAGGCGCTGGGCAGTGCTCTGTGAGCGGGAGCTGTTGTTACTCCTTGCAGCCGTAGCCTCTTTCGTTTATTTTTTTAACTTTATATTTTTTATCAGTACATGTTTATTATGCATATTGATCACATTCACCTTGAGAATTTGTACTTGTACATACGCTGATTTTTTCTTTTTTCTCCACCCCCTTCAACCTTTCATCCCCTCCCCATTCACACAAGCTTTGTTTCCATTTTTTTCTTCCATTGTTTTTTCTTTTTCCCTTTCTTCCCTTCCCGCTTCAGCCTCCCTCGTTCCCCTCCCATGTGAACATGCTCTTCCTGCTTCCGGTATCTCTCCTCCATTATGCACGTCATTTATCCTTTGGGTTTTGTTACAGCAGAAATTCCCCTGGCTCAAGTTGGGCTGTATTCCACAAGAGACCTGAGTCCATTGAGAACAAAATCAGAGTTTAATTTGAGGCTAGCCACCCTCACTCCCATTTGCCAATCTGGAAGTGGGCAAATAGCCAACTTTGTTTTACCTTATATACATTATTGGTTTTATTTTTGGTTTTTATGGTAACAGATTGGGAGGTTACATTTGCTGACCTCGGTGGCCATATGGTCTGTTTTTTATCCTGTGGGACCCAGGACAGTTGTGGGTCGCATGTCTAACTATAATAGATGTTTCTCCCATTATATTCTGTTTGTCTCCTTTTTTACAACCTATGTATTTCTTTAGGGTTAGTGTTTACTTAGGGCCAGGAGATGGAACTGCCCAGGCCGGGTCACGGAGGGTTACCTAGGCTTAGGCGCCTCTTATCTCGGGGAGACATTCCTGGGCAGAGTTGATCTAGGGAATTAGCTCTTACACTCTCCCAGGAGGCTTCCCAAGGCAATGCTTAGGCTTTTATTAAAACTATTTTATCTAAAATAATATGCTAAGATTTATTGCCCCTTACAGTTTCTCAAACCAGAGAAATAATGCAGTATTTACACGTGTGTTGGATTTATTCCACTGAAGATTATGGTCTCAAGGTTCATCCATTTACCCAAAAACGTCTCAAGGTTGTCCTTCTTTATGGCAGAGTTGTACTGCATTGTACAGAACACATTTTATTTACCCATTCATTTGTTGATGAGCATCCGGGCTGTTTCCAAAATACAGCTATTACACATTGTGCTGGTATAAACATGAACGTGCATACATCACTGTGATATGAGGCTTTTAACTCTTTCGGGAAGATACATAGGAGGAGGATAGCTGGGTCAAATGGAACCTCTAGTTTTAGTCTGAGGACTCTCCATACTGATTTCTAGATTGGTTTTACCAATTTATATTCCCACCAGCAGTGGAGAAGTTTTCCTGACAGCCTTCCCAGCATTTGTTATTGGTTGATTTCTTGATAATAGCCTTCTTTCTGGAGTGAGATGGAGTTTCAGCATTGTTTTAATTTGCACTTCTCAAATGACCAGTGATATTGAACATATTTTGATGAATTTATTTACTGTTTCTACTTCTTCATCTGAGAAGTGTCTGTTCATTTCTGATGCCCTTTTTTTGGATTTGGGCCTTTAAATTTGGGGTATCTAACTTTTTTGAGTTCTTTTTTTAAATTTTTTTTATTTTAAAGAGTAAAAGAAGGATAACATAGTAATGGGGGCGCTTACCAAATTATAGACAAAGTGGTAGGAAATTATCAATGGTTATTGTTTTACATATTGTTATCTACAAGATAGTTTCTCAGGAAAACAGATAGACAAATAATAGTGAGTTATAGAAAACTGAGGTAGGACATTATCAATAGTTGTTGTACTGTACTTTGGTATCTTCAAAGTGGCTTCTAAAGAAAATAAATAGAGCTATACAATTGAATAATCATTAACTATTCTCAATGGTTGTTGTAGGAAACACATGATAATAAACATACATCCATTTATGAAATAGCATAGGAACAATACAAACATTACATTACAGAGGGGCTGGGGATTTAGCTCAGCGGCACAGCGCCTGCCTGGCAAATGCAAAGTTGTGAGTTCGATTCCCGGCACCAGAAGAAAAACAAACAAACAAAAAACAAAAAAACCCCAGCAAAAACCAAACAAACATTACAGAGTTATGGACAGATTAGTAGGAAAATATCAATGGCTGCTGTAATACATGGTGGTATCTTCAAAGTGGTTTCCCAGGAAGACAGAGTTACACAAGAAGGATCTAACAAGTAGTTATAGC